AATATGGGATTTAGTTAATGGGGGATGTAGGGGGTGGTTCCTGGGGGTACTGGAGACCCCTTTAAAACTCCCCAAATCACCCTAAAATCCCCCAAATCCTCCCCAAACTCCCCATAAATCCCAAAAAAAACCCCAAATCCCCCAAATCCCTAAACCCCCCTGCCAAAAAACCACAAATACCTTTTAAATTCCCCCAAATCTTCTCCAAAATCCTCCCTAATCCAAAAAACCCTCCAGATAAAAGGGATTTGGGGGGAATTTAGGGGGATTTGGGGTTTTTGGGAGGGCGATTTTAGGTTGGGGGGCGTGCGGCAGAATTTGGGGGGATTTGGGGTTTTTTAGGGGTTTGGGGTTTTTCGGAAGGGGTTGGGGGATTGGGGAGGATTTGGGTTTTTGGGGAGGAGGATTTCAGAGTGGAGGGGTGTGGAGCAGATTTGGGGGAGTTTTTAGGTGATTCCGGGGAATTTTGGGGGATTTAGGGGGGATTTGAGGAATTTGGGGGCGATTTCGGAGAATTTTGGGGGATTTGGACGGAGGGGAAGAAGGGGGGGTGGGGACTACGAGACCACGCCCCACCCCCAAAACTTTCCCCCCCAAGTCCCCCCCAAAATCCCCAAATCCCCCCAAAATCCTCTCCCCCCTCCCCCACCTCCCCCCGGCGACCCCTCCCCAAATTTTTGGGGGTTTTTGGGTTTTTTTTCGGGTTTTTTTTGGGGGATTTTCTTTTGGGCGGCTCCGAGGCTGCGGCTGCGCGGAGGCTCCGGGTGGGGAGGGGGGCGAGCGGGGGGGGGGGGGGGGGCTGGGAATTATTTGGGAATTTTCGGGGGTCCTGGAGGAGTTTTGGGGGGATTTTGGGGGGTTGGGGGGGGTCAGGATGCGCTTCCTCCCCCCGAGCCTCGTTCTCATCCTCCTCCTCTGCGCCAGGCAGGTAAGGGGGGGGAATTTGGGATTTTTTTGTGGGGGTAATTTTTTGGGATTTGGGTTTTTTTTTGGGAGGGGGAGGGGGACGACGGCGGCCGGAATTTTGGGAATTGCGGGAATTTTGGGAATTGCGGGGATGGCGCTGGGTGTGGCCGTGGGGAGGGGAGTGGGACACGGGGACAGCGCGGGGGGGGGGAGGAGGGAAGGGGGGGGAACTGGAGACACTGGGGGGGGGCACTGGGGACACCCCAGTTTGAACTGGGGGACAACTGGGGATACTGAGAGATACTGGGGGGACTCTGGGGACAGCCGAAGACACTGGGGGAAAGGAGCTGTCCAAAAACTCCAAAAATTCCCCCCAAACCGCCCAGATTTCCCCAAAAAAATCTCAAAACAGCCCAAATTCCCCCGAAAACCCCAAAAAATTCTGCCCCCCAAAACTCCAAAAACCCCAAAATCCGCCCCCAAAAAAGCCGAAACCGCGCGGGATGGGGGATTTTGGGGGTCCTGGGGGGATTCAGGGGTTCTGGTCCCCTAAATTTGGGATATTGGGGGGTTCCCACCCCGAACTCGCCCTAAACCCGCCCCGAACCCATCCTAAACCCACCCCAAGCCCTCCCCTCGCTAATCCCGGCCTAAACCCGCCCCAAACCCACCCTAAGACCGCCCCAAGCCCGCCCCGGAGCCGCCCCCGGTGCCGGTGCCGGTCCCGCCCCGTTTCGGGGCCGTTCGGGGCTGGCCCCGGGCCAGCGGCAGCGACGTCAGCCCCGGGCCCCGCTCCCAGCGGGGGAGGCTCGGAGCGGGCCCGGCACCGGCACCGACACCGGCCACAGCCCCGGGACGGGGGCGACACCCCCGGGGGGGGGCTTTGGGGGCTCCCGGTGCCACCCCGGGACCCCTTTGAAACCGCGGGGGCGGCTCCGATCGGGCCGGTACCGGGTCCCGGTGCCACCCCCGATTCCCGGTGCCGGTGCCAGTCCCAGTTCCCGGTAGCGCGTTTTTAAGGCGGGGGAGGCTCTGCTCGAACCGGTCCCGGTTCCCGGTACCACCCCCGGGAGGAGCTGAGGGTAGCCGGTCCCGGTTCCCGGTGCCGCGCTTTTACGGCGGGGGGCTCTGCTCCAGCCGGTCCCGGCCCCGATTCCCGGTGCCACCTCCGGTTCCCGGTACCGCGTTTTTACGGCGGGGGGCTCTGCCCGAACCAGTCCCGGTTCTCGGTGCCCTCCCTGGTTCCCGGTCCCGGTTCCCGGTACCGCGTTTTTACTGCGGTGGGGAGGGAGGGAGGGAGGGAGAGGGGGGGGCTCTCGTCGAGCCGCTGCCGGTTCCCGGTGTCACCGGGGGGGGTGATGGGCACGGGGCGCTGCCGGTGGCGGCGGCGGCGGCGACAATGACGGTGCCGCTGCTGAAGATCGGGGCCGTGCTCAGCACCATGGCCATGGTCACCAACTGGATGTCCCAGACCCTCCCGTCGCTCGTGGGACTCAACGGCACCGCCGTGTCCCGGGCCGGGACATCCGAGAAAATCGTGAGTTGACCCCCCGGTACCGGGAGGGGTCGGTTTTGGTTTTTTTTTTTTTTTGGGTGTGGGATTTTTGGGGAGATTTCGGGGGTGTTTGGGGCTGGCGGAGGCTGCGATCGGGAGATGCGGCAGAGGTGGGGGTGGGGTGGGTGGGGGGAACCCCCCCCACGGTGCACCGGGAGCCCCGAAATCCCCCCAGGGACCCCCACTCTGCCCCCCCACCCCCCCGGTTTTGGGGACCCCCTTTGCCGGCTCCCTGGCACCCCCAAATTTTGGGGACCCCCCCCCCCCCCCTTTGCCACCCCTGAATCCCCCCCTGCTTCTCGGTGCACCAGGACCACCCAACCCCCCCTGGAACGTCCCTAATCCCCGCCCTCCGGTTTTGGGGACCCCCACCCCCGGGCACCCCCCGCATCCTCCCGCTCACCCCCCGAATTTTGGGACCCCCCCCCTTTGCCACTCCCGGAACACCCCCCAGTTCTTCCGGAGCACCGGACCCCCCCGAAATCCCCCCCCCCGTTTTCCAGACACCCCCCCCGGGCACCCCCGGAACCTCCCCCGAATTTGGGGACCCCCCCCTTTGCCACCCCCGGGACACCCCAGAATCCCCTGGGGACCCTCCCGGGCATCCCCCGATTTCTGGGGGACCCCCCCCGGTTTTGGGGACTCCCCCCCCCGAATTCCTCTCGGAAAACCCAAATTTTAGGGACCCCCCCCCCAAATTCTCCCTCCAATTCTTGCCCCCACTTCCCAAAATTCTGCTGGAACCCCCCCTGGAATTCCCACCGGGAATTTTGGGATCCTCCCCCCCCCAATTTTGGGATCATCCCCGGACCTCCCCCGCAATTTTTTGGGGGCTCCCCATCCCATTTTGCCCCTGGAAAATCTAAATTTTGGGGGAATTTTGGGACTGCGGCAGCTGCGGGAGAAAAAGAATTCCCAAAATTATTCCCCCCTCCTCCCAAAATTGGAACGGGGTGGTTTTTGGGGTTAAAAAATCGGTTTTTTAGAGGTTTTCTGGAAAGGGGGGCTAAAATTTCGGAGCGGAGCTTTGGATATTGCTGGGAATTTTAGGAAGAGGAGGAAAATTTGGGATAAATTTGGATGAACCCCCCCGAAAAATCCCGATTGGAATTTGGGGGGGGGGGAGGGAAGGCCTGATGAAGGAGGGGGGGGGTTGGGGGATTTTTGGAGGCTTTTTTTTTTATTTTGGGCGGTTTTTTTGCGATTTCTTAAAATTTTGGGACCGCATTCCCAGCTCCCCCCCCACCAGCTGTCAGTCAACTCTGCGGGGTAATTAGCGGCCGCCGGACGTTAATTAGCGCCTCATTAACCACCCTTGTCCCTCATTTATCACCGGGAAGAGGCCCCTGGAATGAAAACCAGGAATGAGCAGAATTCAGCCCAAAAATTCCGGGAGTCTTTTTTTTGGTTTTTTTTGGTTTTTTTTCCTTGTTTGCTTTTATGGTTTTTTTTTGTTTGTGTTTTTTTTTTTTTTTTTTTTTTAATTTATTTATTTTTTTATTTATTCCCCCCCCAGGATTTTGGAGTTTTTTGGGGAAAACCAGATTTTTAAATTTTTTTTTTCCTCCCCTTCCAAAGGGATGGATGGAATTTCCAGTCCGGCCCTGGGGATATTTGGCATTTGGGGAGAAAAATTGGGAATTTGGGGAGAAAAAAAAAGGGATTTAGGAAGAAAAATTTGGATTCTCACACCACCCCAAAAAAATTGGAAGAGCGCTCTATTTTTTATTCCTGGATTTTGGGGTTTCTGGAATGAGGGAGAATCCCTGGGTTTTGGGGTCCCTCATTCCTGAATGTTCGACTCACAATCCCTGAATTTGGGGTCCCTTCCCTTGGAAATTGCTTCTTTTCCCCCAAAGATCCCAAATTCCTCTCCCCAGTTTCCTTCTCATCCCAATTTCCCCCTTTTCCCCCCAGATTCCACATCCCAAATCCTGCCTCCATCCCTGAGAAATTCCCTCTTTTTTCCCCACCATTCCTTTTTTTTTCCTCAAATCCCAAATCCTTGGGAAATTCCCCCTTTTCCCCCAAAATCCCAAATCCGAAATCTCGCCTCCATCCCTGCAAAATTCTCCCTTTTTTCTCTCTTTTCCCCCAAAAATCCCAAACTCCTCCCAGCGCCTCCCCCTGTCCAGGCCGCTCTCATTAATTATTCATCCAGCGCCTCCCCCTGTCCAGGCCGCTCTCATTAATTATTCATTAACTCTCCCTCATTAATTATTCATTAGCGCTCCTTAATTAAGGATTCATGACGGTTCCAGAGGCTGGGGGAGGGGCTGCGGTTGCTCCCGCTCCCGTTTTTTCCCTGGGAATTTTTTTATTTCGGATCTTCCCTTTTGGGTGGAAAAACGGCGATTTGAGGCTGGGGCCAAGTGGGGTAGTTCCCGAAGTTTATCCCGGTTTTTTTACGGGGTTTATCCCGAATTTTTGGGGAAATCCTGGAGGGATTTTCCCTTCTTTATTTTTTTTCCTGTCGAGTGTGGCGTCAGTGCGGTTGTGACGTCATCTGCCAGGGAATGGGAGGAAAAAAGGGAAAAAGGGGGGGAAAGAAGGGAAAATGGGGGAATAGGGGGAAGAAAGATGGGGAAGAAACAGGGGAAAATGGGGGAAAAGAGGCTGAAAAGAGACATAAATGGGAATAAACTGAATTTTGGGATCGGGATTCTCTGGTACCTGGGAATTTCCAGATCTCCCTGTGTTTTTTGGGAATTCTGAGGTGCCGATCCCGATTTTCCAGACCCTTTTCCAGAGCCCAGACGAGGGCTGGCAGGTTTTCACCTCGGCGCAGGCTCCGGACGGGAAATGTCTCTGCACTGCCGTGATCCCCGTGCAGGGATCCTGCTCCCGCGACCTCCGCAGCCTCCAGCTCCGGCAGCTCCTGGAAAAGGTCGGGAATTCCCAAATGGTCCACAACCAATTGCTGATTAATCAGTTAATTGACGGGAATGGGTTAATTATTGTGGAATTTGTTGATGAATTAACTTGTGTGGGTAATGGAGGGGTTAATTGCTGTTGGGAATGTGGGGATTTGGGATTGGGGGGAAAATCCCTGTGGGATTCCAGGGATGAGGATCCTTATGGAGATTCCCATTAATGACTGTGATGAACCCCATTAATGACCGCGGTTGACCCCATTAATTAGCCTGATTAACCCCATTAATTGCTGTGATTAACTGCATTAATTACCAGGATGGTCATTAATGACCTTAATAACCGTGATTAACCCCATTAATAACCGTGATTAACCCCATTAATAACCCTGATTAACCCCATTAATTACCATAATTAACCCCATTAACGACCGCTCCAGGTGCAGAACATCTCCCAGTCCATGGAAGTCCTGGACCTCCGCACCTTCCGGGACCTGCAGTACGTGCGGAACACGGAGGCTCTGATGAAGGGCCTGGACTCGCGGCTCCGCGTGGCCTCTGAGGGCCACAAAGCCCTCAACGCCCGCAGCTTCCAGGTGAGAAATTCACACTTTTTATCTCAAAAAAATCCCAGTGTTCCAGCCCTTTTTTCCCCCTGATTTATTCCCGCAGTATTTCAGTTTTCCGCTTGTTTATTCCTTCCACATGTCAGGATTTTTCCCGTGGGATCAGGCCTCAGGATCCTTTTGGGGCTTCCAGAGCTGAAAATCCCCAATTCTTTTTTTTTTGAATTCCCAAACCTGAACATCCCCATTTATCCCGAGGAACAAACAGCTTCCAAAAAAACCCCTGAACTCTGTGACGTTTGAACCGATTTTTCCCCGTATTTTTTTCGCTCAGGATTGGAAGGTGAACCCTGAGATTTCAGGACTGATTTTTCCCAAATTTTTTCCTCAGGATCTGAAGGAACAACAACGTGAACCCTGGGACTTTGGGGGCCATTTTCCCAATTTTTTTTCTGCAGGATCTAAAGGCAAATCCCGGGATTTTGGGGCCATTTATCCTGATTTTTTCCTGCAGGATCTGAAGGAGAAGATGCGGGAGCTGCTGCCACTGCTGCCGGTGCTGGAGCAGTATAAGGCGGACTCGCGGCTCATCGTGCACCTCAAGGAGGAGGTCAGGAATCTCTCTGGGATTCTCCTGGCCATCCAGGAGGAGATGGGAGCCTACGACTACGAGGAGCTGCAGCAGCGCGTGCTGCTGCTGGAGGCGCGGCTGCACGCCTGCCTGCAGAAACTGGGTAAAAAAATCCCATTAGAAATCCCGAATTTTGTCTCAAATCCTAAGAAAACGTGGTGGGAATAGGCTAAAAATCCTCTCCAAAGTTGTCTTTGAAATCCGGCCCAGAACCACAAAAAATCTGCCCAAAATCCCCTCAAAACATCTTTAAAATCACTCCCCAAATCCACTCCTAAAAACCAAAAAATCCTCCCAAAATCTGCCCCAAATCCCCTCCTATAAGTCCCCCAAAATGTCTCCAGAATCCCCTCCAAATGCCCCCAAACATCTCTAAAATCCCTCCCAAATCCATCCCAAAATCCCCCAAAACTTTGCCAAAGCTCCCCCCAAAAAACTGCAAAATCCCCTCAAATTCTGTCCAAAATCCACCCAAAAATCCTTCCCATTTTCCCTTTACAATCCCACTCCCAGACCCTCCAGGGCTTTCCTGACCCCGCTGTGGCCCCAGTCCCTGATTTCCCTCTAATTCCCATTTTTTCCCTGGTTTTCCAAGTCCCTGATTTTTCCCATAACTCCCAGTTTTCCAAACCCCTGATTTTTCCCAAAACTCCAGTTTTTCCCCCCTATTTTTCCAGGCTGTGGGAAACTGACAGGGGTCAGCAACCCCATCACCATCCGCGCCTCGGGATCGCGCTTTGGATCCTGGATGACTGACACGATGACGCCCAGCACCGACAGCCGGGTGAGGGCCACCCCCAAAAACCAGGATTTTCCCAAAAAAATCACCTGGATCTGATGGGATTTGGAGGGATTTGGGGACAATCTCAACACTTTTCAGGCATGGTGATCCCTGAAAATCTATGGATTTGGCACCTGGAAAGGGAATCTAAAATCCCAAAATCTCCCTTAACATCCCCCAAAACTTCCTGGGGTCCTCAAATCTTGGATTTGAGGGGGATTTGGGCAAAATCCCAGCAATTTTCTGGTGAAATCCATGGATTTGGCACCTGGCTGGGAACCCGTGGGTCATTTTTGTGGTCCCCACACCATGGATTTGGGATCTGGGCACAAAACCTGTACTTTTTGGGCACTGTTGCCTGAAAATCCTGGATGGTGGATTTGATCACATCTGCAGTGGGTTTAGAGCCCACCTTGATGAGGTTTTAGAACCCATCTTGAAGAGGTTTAGATCCCATCCTGAGGGGCTTTTCACCCCACCTTGAAAGGAGTTTGATCATACCTTCCCCACCTTGAAACCCCATTTTACCCCATTTTAACCCCATTTTCCCCCGTTTCTCCCCTCCAGGTGTGGTACATGGACGGCTACTACAAGGGCCGGCGCGTGCTGGAATTCCGCAGCCTCAGCGACTTCGTCTCCGGCCAAAACTTTGTCCAGCACCTCCTGCCTCACCCTTGGGCCGGCACTGGCCACGTGGTCTTCAACGGCTCCTTGTACTACAACAAATTCCAGAGCAACGTCGCCGTCCGCTACCACTTCCGCTCCCGCAGCGTCCTGGTGCAGCGCAGCCTCGCCGGCGCCGGCTACAACAACACTTTCCCCTACTCCTGGGGTGGCTTCTCCGACATCGACTTCATGGTGGATGAGAACGGCCTCTGGGCCGTCTACACCACCAACCAGAACGCCGGGAATATCGTGGTGAGTCGCGTGGATCCGCACACCCTGGAAGTGCTGAGGAGCTGGGATACGGGGTACCCCAAACGTAGCGCGGGCGAGTCCTTCATGATCTGCGGGATTCTTTACGTCACCAATTCCCACCTGGCCGGCGCCAAGATTTATTTCGCTTACCACACGAACACTTCCAGCTACGAGTACACGGATATCCCCTTCCATAATCAGTATTCTCACATTTCCATGCTGGACTACAACCCACGGGAGAGGGTGCTCTACACCTGGAATAACGGCCACCAGGTCATCTACAATGTCACGCTCTTCCACGTCATCAACACGGCCGGAGAGCTGTGATGGACATTCCCAAGGGGAGAGAGAGAATTCCCAGCTTTTTGTTTTCTACGCTTCCACGCTTCCCCTTTACCGTCTGCTGAATAATTCCGGAGGGATGCAATGATGAGGCGGAAATTCCCAGTTCTCAGCGAGTCCCAAACTGCATTTCCCTCTTTTTTCCCTTTTTTCCTCCCTTTTTTTTAATCTTTTTTTTCCTTTTTTGTCCCCTTTCCCCTCCTCTTCCCCCCATTTCTCCCTATTTCCCCACGTTATTTCCCCATTTTTTTCCCAGCTTGTAGGTTTTTTTTTTTTCCCCCACATTTTTCTCCCAATTCTGCAATTTTTTCCCCTCCTCTTCCTCCTCCTCCTCGGTTCTTCTGGAATTCTGTCGGATTCATGGCGCATGGAGCTGCTCTGCCTTGGGTTTTTCTGTATTTTTTTTGGGAATTTCGGGGCCAAATTCCATCTTTATTTCGACAGCAAATAAAAAAAAATATCTCTGGCCTTTGGTGGGAGTTGATTACTTTTCCCCCCCCTCCTTTCTGCCTGGTTTTTAATTATTTTAAAAATGTATTATTTTAATTACTCACTCCCAGGGTTTTTCTGATATTTTCCTGCTTTTTTCCCACCTGTTTTTCCAAAGAGGAAGAGGTGGGAAAGGGGGAAAAACGATGGAAAACAGAAAAAGAGGATAGAAAGGTGGAAAAGAGGATGGAAAAGAAGAAAAGACAGAAGAGATGAAGAAGTTGGGATGATCCAGAGCGGATGGAGGGATTTGGGATAGTCCTGAAGGTTTGGGATAATCCCAGGAATGGGCACAGATCCCACTGGAGATTGGGAATGGGCACAGATCCCAGGAATGGGCACAGATCCCAGGAATGGGCACAGATCCCAGTCCTGGCACAGGAGGAAGAATTTTGGGAAGTGCGTTTGAGCTCCCGCTGGCTCTGGGCAGCAGCGGGAAAAGGCCCTGCAGGGATTAATTAGGAATTTAATTGGGAATTACGGCCAGCACAGCAGGGAGGGCTCCAAGGGGCCGGAGCGATGGCGGTGGCACCTGGTGAGAGGGAACAGGGAATGGGATTGGGAACATGGGAATGGAACAGGTAATATAAAAATGGAAAGGCTGGACCAGGAATACGAGAACAGGACAGGGCATATGGGAATGGGAACATGGGAATGGCAACCAGACAGAGAATTCGGTCAGGGAATGAGACTGGGAATGGGATCCAGACTGGGATGGAAGCAGGATGGGACCAGCAGTGGAGTGATACGGCGTGGAGGGTTCAGTGTTGGCTAAATACTCATGGAGTCTCTAGAATTATTTACTTGTTTCTTGTTGTGAGATAGGATTATAAGGAAGTTAAAGTGGGCTTAAAACTTTAAAAGGGTATAAAGAAAACTTTAGTAATAGGACTAAAAGAAAGAGTACTAAGAATCAGAATAAAACTTTAGGAACACCTCCTCCCCACCACTTTTTATCTTTCCTACTGACAATATACGGAGACAAATTTGGTATTCTCAGTCAGTTTACTTCTGCTAAAATAATCTTTCATCCATTTTCTTAGGGAGAGGAGTCTTTCTTGCCATGGCTGTGGAGATTTCTCTACAAGCGACAGTTTTCTTGTGGCTTCAATTTTCACGAATAGCAGCTGCATTCATGAAGTCCTTCTCACCTTCCACAGCCTTCCCACAGCTGCGTTTTTTTGGGCTATTTAACTTATTGGGGTGCCATTTTTGAGTCTGACCTGTTTAAAAGCTTTAATTGGCTTATTAACATGCCTGTTCTCAGAGCTAGGAAGCAATTGGTTTGGCTAGGCACAGAAGAAGCTCTCAGCAGCTCTTTTCAGAAAAAATAACTTTGGTGTGTGGCTTCTTCCCTCTTCACTAAATGCCAATGCAAAAAACCAACACACACAGGAACTGGTGGGGGGCAATGGGAGCAAAAGTGGGGACAGGGAGATCCTGGACAGGGGACACAGGGATGGGAGGACATTGGAACGGTTCCAGGGCAGGGGGTCCTTGATCAGCTGCCCCAGAATCTCTGGTAGGGTCTCCCAGCACAGCCACAGCCCCTCAGCCTCAGGAGCCCAAAGCCCTCAGCAACCCCCAAGTTCCTCCCAGGAACCCTCAACGCCCTCAGACTCAGCATCTCCCACATCCCCTGGAAGAGCCCCCCATGTCCCCATCCTTTGAAGTTCAACATCTTTATTTTCAACCCCAGATTTAGGTGTTTTGAAAGGACAAAGAAAAATGGAAAGAAAATCCGGGCCACAGGGAGCGAGGAGGGTGTGGGGCCCTCAGGCAAGTTTCTTCCCAACACGGATCACTGATCACCGGGGCTCGGCCCATGGGGGTCACTGGGGATCATCCAGGGCAGATCCTCCCGTGGAGGATGGAGCGTGGAGCTCTTCTTGCCCTCGGGGCACTCTCAGGGCTGCTCTTAGTGCTGGCTCCGTTGGTGTTCCGTCAAGTGAGAGCTCCTGGAGAAGCTTTTCCCACACTGGGGACACTCACAGGGCCTCTCCCCGGTGTGGATGTGCCGGTGGGGGACGAGGGTGAAATTTTCCCTGAATTCCTTCCCACAGTCAGGGCAGCAGAACGACCTCTCCTCCGCCTGAGTGCTCTGCGTGGCACTGGAAGCCGATACTGGGAGCACTGGGTACGACAGTGAGACAACGGGGAGCGATCCTGAGAGCCCCGGGAAGGAACTGGGAGCGCTTTCCCGCCAGTACCGCACTTACTGGGAGCACTGGGAAGGAACTGGGAGCGCTTTCCCGCCAGTACCGCTCTTACTGGGAGCACTGGGAAGGAACAGGACACGGCTACAGCTAGCGGTGGGCGGGGCCAACTGGAGGGGCGGGATTATGCAAATCTTTGCACTGGGATTGGTGGGCGGGAGCAGCGCCCGGGCCGGGACTGGGAATGGGACAGGGAATATGGAAACAGCAACCAGAGAGAGAACGTGGGATGGGGATTCGTGCAGATTTCTCAATTAAGCCATGTTTGCCCACTTTTAGTCTTCAATGGAGCCTAGGTGCCAGTTGTTTGCTGCTTGGTTTCTGCCTTCCCTTCCCTGCCTACAGCTTAACCCCTTTCTCTCCTTCCTGCTTTTGGGCCATCACTGGTCATGCAGACCATGCTGATGCAGATGGCTGATAAATAATTATCAAAGAACTTGGGAATGGTCTGTGTCAGGTATCAGTAACATTTAAAAATGCAGTATATGGACCATCAACCAATGAATTTAGCAACAGCTGGATAGTATCTAATCACCTTTCCTTTGAAGCCCTCTTCATAAGCATATTTACTTATAAAGGGAAAGCATTTGGTTTTTATTTTAACAAATACTACAAATCACCAACAGCCAGCTTAAGTGAGCATGGAAGACTGACAAAGACATGGTAATGTTTTTTCTTTTAAATCCCTCAAACCCCATCAAGTACTGGGGAGGCAGCTCAGCGAGGTTCAGCCCACAGCTGCCATTCTGTGCTCACGGAGAGCAACCTCTGCAGCTGTCCCAGCCTCAGGAAAGCACAGAAAAGGGCTGCACACAGATCAGGGATTAAGTCAGACCCAGGTTGCGCTCAGCTCAGCCACCATGGCACTGTTAGAAACCTTACACCCTTTTTCTGTCAGATAGATTGTGGTTGAGACAGATGAAGAGCTCACACTGAGGGTTAGGGGTACAAAGGACACAGGGTACCAGGTAGGGTTAGGGTACAGGTGCAGCAGCCCTCAATCCAACCACAAGGTCACCCTAAACAGGACCCCTAGGACCCCAGATTTCCCCAATGGCAGCACAAGGCAGCAACCCCAATTCTGGGACAGTGAATTGCCTAAGGCACAAAAATGAGAATGGAGACAGACTTGCCCCAGGAACTGAGACCTCAGCAACAAGAAAGGCTACTGGTCACTGCTCACCTTGCCTTCTTGAACTTAACTGCTGAGATCCAGCTATGCTTCCTAAAAATAAAGACAAAGAACAGTGCTGTAACAGGGTCACACTTGACACACCCCCTGCACAGACAAATGGTGACTGACCTGATTTTGGGAACCCCCTCACCCAGAATAGGGTGCTCAGCCATGGATGCAATGCATCTGAATCTGAAAGAAAGTTAGAACATATGTCAAACACCTGCAGGATAACTCAAAAGCTGCAAACCCCTTATGTAAATCTAGAAATAGAATCTAGAGGCAAAGTATACCCCACATTACAAATTTCAAGTCCCCAGGTCTTATCCTATTGCACCAGGCTATACAGCAGGGCAGAGCAGCTCTGGCACAAATGAGTGCTGACACCCGTGACACAGGACAGGACAGGACAGACAATGGGGACACAACAGGAACAGAAATCTCTAGGCAAGGAAAATGGCTGCAAGGACTGAGAGAATGCACAACAAGATGACCGAGCTGAGACCGATGGTGAGCTGATGAGGCTCAGAGAACCCAGGAGGAAGAAGATGCTAACTGAATTATTTATTCCAAGAAGTGCAAAGATGGATGCCTAGAATCCTACAGTCAGAATCCTCTACCTACCCTCACATTCTTACAAGTCCTAATCCACCATAATGGATCCTGGTGGGGCATGGCTGTCCATACAGCTCAGAACAAGACCTGACAAGACATCTGACCGGATGCTTCCAAAGAGAGAAGAGAGTCTGATGCCTGTTTGAGCTCCCGAGTCAAAAGTTCTATGGCCTGGGTGCCAGACCAAGGAATGCAGAGATCACAGATGCTAAGAACAGTGCCAGGGTTTCTGACAGGCCCCTCAAATGGCTAAGGTAAAAGACATGACATACCCAAACACACATAATGCAATATAGACAAGAGACACAATACACACTGGAACTGCTCTGCCCTGCTGCACACCTCAGCACTGTCAGCAAAAGTGAGACTTGGCTTTTACGGGGCCTAAGGGGCCACTACATTAACACCCCCCCCCTCCAAATTGGACTCAAAAACCCCTCCCAGTAATTCCCAAACCAGCACCCCGCTTTCATCCCCTCTGTGGGTTGTAGCCCTCTACTTATCTCTCAAACATCTGGGGATGCTGGTCCATGTCAGGTGCAAAGAAAGGCCACCTCGTCACCTGGGAAAGTCCTGCTGGCACCGGGCTGGTGTCTCTCAGACAGCTGTATTAAAGAAAACCAAACATCAGTGCCTGATCTTGGCACTGCAT